CCCAACCGGGAGAAGGGAGCTGGAAACCCCAGGTTGACACTCGGTGGTCCGAGTGCCTCCATCTGTCTGCAGGAGAGGGGAGGAAGGCTCGCCCAGGGGCAGGGTCTTGAGGGTGGAGCTAGCACAAAGCCCCTCACCCACAGGCTTTCTGCCTCAGTGGGCTCAGCCTGCCTGGGCCCAGGAAAAATAGGCTCTGGCTACAGAGACAGGGGGCTGCTGCCATCCGTCCATCTCCTTGCCTGTTCCAGGCCTGGCAGTCTGAGCTCTGGCCCCTGAAGTCCCCTCCAATCCCCTACTCCTTCACAGGCCCAAGGACTATCCCTGCTGGGGGACACTCCAGAAGCCCACCTGCCCCTCCCCAGGAAGCCGGCTTGTTCCAGCTCCACTCCCCCAGCCCACTGACCATGGCCGCTGATCCCTGCAGGTCAGGAAAGAAAGGGACCTCCCTGCCAGGTGCTGGAGGTCGAGTGGCAGGGCCAGGACACACAGCAGCCAGATCCCAGATTTAGCCTCTGGCAGGAGAGCTTGGTCATCTCCCGTGGCGGGCATGGGCTCTGCTGCCAGCAGCAGACTTGGCCTGGGGCGGAGCGATGGGGGGACATCAAATGGGCAGCCTGGGGTGGGGACTCTTGAAGCCAGGGCTGGCCCTCCTTTCCTCAAGGGCCCTGGGAATGGGTCATACCCACTTTGTTTTCTTTCTTGTGAGACTTGCCCCCAGGACAGGAACAACTTGGCCTGGTGGGAAACAAAAAAACCCTAGCTGGGGGGCTTCTCTCTTGCAGCTTGCAGAGATGAGGGTCTGAGTCCAGTTTGCTGGCATTGAGGCAGAGGGGATTCCTGTCCTGTCCTGCCCTGAGTGCTGTGAACCCGAGCTGGGGGGAGATAGGGACAGTTGACTCTGTGCCCAAAGGGCCCTGGATTCAATATTAGGATCCCTTGACTGTAATAGCTATGATCCAAGAACATTTAGATACTTTTATGAACTGAAGTTTCTAATGAAAAGGGGACTGAAGTCTCTTATTTTTTGACACAAAGATTCCATGGTTATAAAGTTCTGTAGCTGTAGAATGAGAGTGTTACTGGCCTAAGATGTCTCTGAGGGTCTGTGGATTTTTCATCACTCAGTGCTAAGATCTGAGCTACGAAAATATCACGATGCTTTGTTTTTGTTGTTTTTTAATTACAAAGCTACTTCTAATACTTTGGGTTGAGCCCCATGGGAATAAAATCACTGGGAAGGGGTAAACCCTTCCACTGTGGGAAGGAAACACAGAAGACACCGCTCCAGGCTCCAGGCAGAAGGAATGCCGTTGGTGCTGAGTGCTACAGGAGATTCAGGAGTGGTGGGACTGGCTCCAGGCACACAGGCCAAGGGCAGGATGGTTGGACACAAAGCCACAAAGCTGCTTGGGTTCCTCCCTCTCTTTTACCTTTTTCTGCTTCTGCTGCATGATCTTCGAGTCCCTCTTCTCCCAGGCAGCAGCAGAAAGTCATCACCTCAGCACTCTCAGGTCATTCTGGTGATGACAGCAGCTCAGCCTTTCCTCCATTGGGTCCCCTCGTTTAGTCCGATGTTGCAGGCCAATGTTATAAATTTTGGGGTCTGACAGTGTTTGTTTCCAAGAGTTCATGATTTGAAGAGTTGACATTTCTGTGATTCCAGATTCTGTGTCTATAGAGTTGATGGCTCTGTGTCTCTAGGCCCAGCCTTTGAGCAGAAAGTGACCAGCATCCTCCCTAGTGCTGGCCGGGGGCCATGCTAGGTGTGGAGATCACAGAGGGCAGCCAGCAGGGCCCTGGTCAGTAGAGGTGACTAAGGGGCACAACAGTGCTCAGGGCCAGGATGAAACCATCAGAACAGTACCAGAGCACCCTGTGCCCAAGATAGAAGCCACTTCTCCCTACAAATGGGGCTCCCAGGGGGCAAGCTCTGCCCCAGGCAGGCCCCACAAGCCCACTGGCAGGCACAGTGGAGCCCAGAGAGGGCTGTAGGGAATGGACAACACAAGAAGGCATCCTGGTAGAGTAGTTGATGTTGTTTGTTTGCAAGTAGGTGGTATAATTTGTTTGCTCTACTGCCCTGAGTTCTCCAGAAGAGCCCAGCTGTGTTCATCTTGTTCCTCACTATGCTTGGCAAGGGCATTAATAGTTTACTTATTCCTGTGTCAGTCTCCTTTTATTTATTTTTAAATATTTTTATTGATTTTTAGAGAGAGAGGAAGGGAGAGAGGGAGAAAGAGAAACATCAATGTGAGAGTGCAACATCTATGGGCTGCCTCCTGCACACCCCCTACCAGGCATTAAGACTGCAACCCAGACATGTGACCTGATCTGGAATTGAACCCAAAGCCTCTGGTAAACAGGACGTCCAACCAACTGAGCCACACCAGCCAGGCTATTTTATTTTATTTTAAATTATATATATTTTTAGAATGTAAGCAGGGATACTCCATAGAGAACCACGGAGGGAGTCGCATGTGCAATGGCGCTTCAGCTCCACGAGAGGGCGCCCACGCAGTGAGGCGTTACTGAGCCCAGACTCCGGCTTGTCGTGAGAATAAGTCCCATGGTGCCTCGCGGGCGCCGACCGCCCTGCGCAGGCGCAGCCGCCCTCGGGCGTCCTCTGCTGCGGGCGAACAAGGCCCAGCCACAGAGGCAGAGGCGGGGGCCGCGCGCCGGGGATTGAGCCCTCCCGGAGCCGCCGCCATGCCGGACAGCTGGGACAAGGACGTGTACCCCGAGCCCCCGCGCCGCACGCCGGCGCCCTCGCCGCAGACCTCGCTGCCCAACCCCATCACCTACTTAACGAAGGCCTTCGACCTCCTCGTGGACCGGCCTGTGACCCTCGTGAGAGGTACGGGCTCCACCCGATCCCCGCCGCTCCCCGGGTTCCCTGGTGCTCTGGACTCCGTGGCCTGGCCTGGACACCCGGGGCGCCCACCCGTAGATCTTTGGGCCACATCGCCTACTTAGACCCCCAACTGCACCCCAAGCCTTCCCTCCGGGGACGCCCGCTTCCTACACCCCTCAGCGCTCTCCGGTTCCCGCAGCTTGGGGTACTCTCCAGGCACTCCTGGTCTCCCACTTTGCCCAAATATTAGGGGTTGTTTGCCGATCGCAGTCTGTATCCTGGGTCGTTAGACCCGTCTCCCTGCAGGCTTTGCATCATGCGTTGTGTGCAGGGGTCAGCAAACGCTAACCCTCTCTGCATGCCTGCAAAATGACCGGGATGACCAGGGCATGGCCGAGTTCCCCTCAACCTAGACTGGTGTGACTTGCCCTCCGTGTGTGCCCAAATTCTTTGAAAGCTCCCCAGATTGCCCCATCTCCGGTTTGAACCAGACGAACGTCTAAAATAGTTCGTTTCCCAGTTTGTGGTTCAGCCAGCCCCATGGGGTAGCAGGAAGAGTACGTATGCTCGCCTTGTCACTAGTGCCAGGCGATTCATCCATGCTAATTTAACCAGTTTCCTTCATTAAGCAAAACATTTGGTGTGCATAGTGTGCTCTTTTGTTAGGGAGGGTAAAGTCAGCAAACCAGACTCCCAAGGTCTGGAAAAAGCCCTCCGTTTTTGTTGTTGCTATTTCTTCCCCGGTCCGACTTACTGATTTCCCTATGGGGAAATTTGGGCCAGGTGAGTGGTGGCAGAACTGGGACTAGAATCAGAGTCTCACACTGGAGTCCATGATAGGGGGTTGGCTGGCATGTCAGGGGTAGCAGGGTGTGGGCTTGCAAAGTCTAGATTCCGAGTCCTGCCTTCCCTCTGTGCCTCAGTCCCATCAGTTAGTAAGGACCTGCCCCACAGGGTTATTGTAGGGACACAGTAACAGGGAGTTCCTGTTGTAGCCCAGTCTGTCCTAGGACTAACACACCAGCTCACGCTGGAGTCAGTCCACTTGCCAGTCTGTAAAAGTTGAGAACATGGGAAAACTGCCCCTCCTATGGCTTATTAGAAATAAAGCTAAAAGCCCATCTAAACTGTGGCCTATCCAAACCAATGGTGCCTGGGTCTGGGGGTTTCTCTTTGCAGAGTTTATAGAGCAGCAGCATGCAAAAAACAGGTATTACTACTACCACCGGGAGTTCCGCCGAGTGCCAGACATCACCGAATGCAAGGAAAAGGATGTCTTGTGCATGTTTGAAGCAGAAATGCAATGGAGAAGAGACTAGTATGTCCTGCCCTTGACTGGGGAATACTGAACCCTGCGCAGCAACCATATCATGCCCAAGATCTTGGAGGTTGGGGGCAAGAACACAGGGTCCAACTCTTTTCACTCTGTCCTTAGGTACACGGGAAGGATTCTTTGTAGACCTGTTGTTCCCTCTTCTTTCAGCAAAGTTGATCAAGAAATCGTCAACATTATCCAAGAAAGGCTGAAAGCTTGTCAGCAGAGGGAAGGTGAAAGCTACAGGCAGAACTGTGCCAAGGAGTTGGAGCAGTTCACACAGGTGGCCAAGGCCTACCAGGACCGTTGTGAGTGAGCCTTATCCCAGCCTGACCCTCCTGCTTGCTAGCCAACCCTCTATTCCAATCTCCACAGCTATGGGTTCAAAGTTACTAAAACAGTGGTTCTCAACGTACCTGCCATGGTTTTGCAAAGCCTTGCAGGGTATAAGGGAATTATCACTGTGCCCCAGGTCCCCTTTCTGCCACATACCCATCTTGGCTACTTGACTTTACTCTCTGTAGTGAAGACACCTTTTCCCATTATGGCAGAAGTGGCCCATGACTCCCCTTCCTTCTCTTTCCCAGATCACGACTTAGGGGCCCATTATTCTGCCAGGAAGTGCCTGGCAAAACAGAAGCAGAGGATGCTTGCAGAGAGAAAAGCTGCTAAAGAGGCTGCTGCTGCTGCTCCTTGAGTCCCCTCTCACATGGCTGTTTCTTACTAAATAAAGAGTAACGAAACCTGTTTCTGGTGTTTTCAGCCTTCACTTTTGACACACTGATAAGCCTTATTGGCCCACTGTCCAATTTCAGCAGAAACAGAAGACAACTATTAATGGGCTTAATTCACTTTATTTTTCTGGTATGAAATTATGTGGTGGCCACAGCTGGAGCCTGGGTCCTTTGCACAGAAACTCTGGTGTGAGTCTTTACAAGATGGTCAGTGAATTCCTGGAAAGACAGACACAGCTTTAGCTGTAGAGCCAGATACACACTGCACTTGCATAGGTTAATAAGGTGGTGGGGCAGGCAGTACCTGATAGGGAGACTTGGTGAAAACAGTCTCTTTCCAGAGATCTGGGGTGAGATAGCTGTAGGTCTTAGAGATGGCATCAAAGGTGGCCTTGGCTAGAAAAGGTTAGAGGATTAGTAGATTTACCCAAAACACAAGACCCCAGATATAGACAGCTGTCCCACTCCTAGGAAGAGAGGTGACTTTGGGCATCTCCCATGCATTTAGGGCTTTCCTCTCTGAAAATACTCCACCAGCCACCCATACTGTGATTAAGTAATGCTCAGAGACCATAGCCCATGTATAGACCACCTACCAAAGTTGCCCAGGGTAGCAGTGCAGCCCCTGGCCGAGGTATAGCAGTCATCGATACCANAGACCACCTACCAAAGTTGCCCAGGGTAGCAGTGCAGCCCCTGGCGGAGGTATAGCAGTCATCGATACCGGCCATCATCAGCAGCTTCTTGGGCACAGGGGCTGAGACAATGCCAGTGCCCCTGGGGGCGGGGATGAGGCGCACCAGTACAGAGCCACAGCGGCCAGTCACCTGAAAGGGTTGGAGTCAGCAGACTGGAGCTGGAGCTCATCTGCCACTTAAAGACCTCATCAAACACCACCACCCAGCCTACCTTGCAAGGAACGGTGTGGGGCTTGCCAATCTTATTCCCCCAGTAGCCTCTCCGCACAGGGACAATAGAGAGCTTAGCCAGGATGATGGCCCCACGGATGGCAGTGGCTACTTCCTTTGAGCACTTAACACCCAGACCAACATGTCCATTGTAGTCCCCAATGGCGACAAATGCCTGTGAAGAGACTCAAGTGGCTGGTGGTCCAATATCCTGCACACCAGTAACTACATCCCAAGGCCTGTTGCGCCCCTCAAGAAAGGACTGGCCACTGTCAGGCCAACCTGAGGTCCTGAGGAGATCCTTTCTCTCTCTCCCCATTACGAAAGTCACACGTGTGAAAACAAGTGTAACAGTGCAGAGCTGAGAGAGTCTCACAAAGCCCCTTGGCAGAGACAGCCCAGGAAGACACAAGATGGCTGGGATACCTTGAACCGGGTCCTCTGGCCAGCTCGTGTCTGCTTTTGCACGGGCATAATCTTCAAAACCTCATCCTTGAGGGATGCCCCCAAGAAAAAGTCAATGATCTCAGATTCCTGCAAGAAATGAGATTCGTGGCAAATATGATTTAAGAAACACCACCTCTGAACATTAGTCATTAAGAGAGCACCTGGCTTTCTTGCAGTAGTATTCTGACTGTCCCGTTTCTTTCTTTACAGATTGATAACCCAACGTCAGAGACGGCCACCCACAAACTCACACATCTCAAAGCCCAGGGCCCCTCAATCTCATCCCTCCACACCAAAGTCAGAAGAGACTCCCCCAAGGCTGCACCTGCCCAATGTCCCAACACAGAAAAAAACCAGGAATCACCTTGATGGGCAAGGAGAAGAGATAGATCTCCTCCAGGGACTTGATTTTCATGTCCTTCACCAGGCGGCCCAACTTGGTGACAGGGATCCACTGGAAGAAAAAGGCGCCCATGACGAGAGGAAAATACCCGATGCTGCCCACCGGGCTGTGTCGCGCGCATGGCCCGGACCTACCTCCTTGTCCTCGGCCTTGCCTCCGCGAGCTCCGCGGCCTCGGCCCCGGCCCCGACCCCGGCCGCGACCTCGGCCGCGGATTCCGCTGCCAAATCCTCCACGGAAGCCGCCGCGGCCTCCGATTCCAGGGCCCCCGGGGCCTCCTGGCCCTCCCGCAGCACCGGCGTCATCCGCCATTTGCTAAATAGAGGAACAAAAAACAGTCAGTGAAGCCCTGGCATTCGCAGTCGCCTGTACTGGAGATCCCGCCTAAGACTGGGGTCACGCCAGCCCGGGTCCAGCCCGATGTCCGAGGATTGCCGACTCTAAGGCCCCAACGCGCACAAATAGGAACGAACACTCACGTGTTTCCTCGGGAAAGAAGAACAAAGATTTCTGGGAGGGAAGTTTTATATGGCGCCAAGTGCCGCGAGAACTAGACTGAGCGATGCCGATCGCGAGTGTTCCAAGGGCCTATAAGCCAGCCTGTGATTGGCTTCGTGGGGCCCCGCCCCCGCCGAGCTGTGCGTGCGCCTGCGCGTCTTCGGGTCCGCGGCCCTGGAATCTGTGTGGCAGCGGAGTTGCTATAAATGCCGGCACCACTGCGCTCGAGCCCTCTCCGGATGCAGGTAGGTCAGCTCGTCTGCTTCTTGGGCTCATTATGTTGTTGGGTGGTATTCGGAGATCGGCGTTGGTTGAAAATCACCTGCAGCTTTGGCCGTGGCCGTAGGTGAGATTCGGCGCCCAGAGCCACCGGGGGCCTCAGCTCACTACCCACCCGATGTGGGGACGTGAAACCCAGGCCCCAACACGCGCCGCGGCTCGGGGCCTCGGTGCTACCGTTCGTGTGCTCTGGTGTTAGATCCTAATCTGGTTTTCTGCTCGCAGGACACCTGGATGCCCCAAGCCTGAGGCCGACGCCGCCAGGATCGTGGGGGTAGGGAGGCTTCGCTGTATTCACTTTATTAATTTACTTATCCTTTATCTTCGTTTTTCAATAAAGTTCTTGGTCTAACTCTTGTGTGTGCGTGTTTTTTTGGTCCCCTGCCCGTCAGCCTGGAAAATGCATCTGTTAACGGTAAGATCAATTTGAAGGGGGGAGACCACTTTTTCTCCTAGCCAGCCCTATTCTACCTACTTTGGTTACCATACAGGGCTAGAACTTGGCGCCTCCAAGGTAGGCGGGTGACTCCTAAAGTTCCACACCTCAGACCTTCTACATGAGCAGATAAAGTCAGGTTGGACCTGCAAGCCACTAGCAAGGATAGGAGTGTAAGATTCACATTTCATACAGTGGCTTCCTGTTGCATTGAGGACAGGGTTAGGGTCTTTAGGATTTGATGAGTGCACCACTGGGTGGTATGGAAAAGCACTTTTCAAAATTCTTACCCAAGGATATTTTTTCCATTGCTTCTCGGAGATAGTGGTAGGGAGAAAGAAAGAAACATCATTGTGAAAGAAACACATAGGTTGGTTGCCTCCCTCATGTGCCCTGACTGGATCTGGGGATCTAGCCTGTGACCGAGGTACGTTCCCTTCACAAGAATTGAACCCAAGACTCTTGAGTCCATGGGCCAACACTTTAACCACTGAGCCAAACCAGCTAGGACTGGAAATGCACTTACATGTTTGTGCCTTATGTGTAGGAACATGCTGGTTTCTCAAGTTGGAGTTGATTTCCCTGTGCCTTTCTCTCTCATAAGCCTGCCTAGATAGTCCAAGCCTACATAGTCTGGGAGGCTTCCCCACAGGCTACCTCTTCCTGCTGTGGTACTGCAGGTTGCATGGGAATCTGGTCATCATTTCCCTGGTCTGTATCCTGGAGCACCTCGGGTCTTAGATCCTAAAGCCCCTGAGCTCTTGGAGACATAGCTACTGGGGCAGCACTATTTTAGAGGGGGAGGGGAACAATCCCTTCATACCTGCTGAAGCTTCAGTTTTGGGAATACTGCCCCTAGAAGCTTGGTTCCTGGCCTAGTACTGCCTGGGGAATCAGCTGTCAGCCACCATCAAGGAAGGGGCTGTATGGACCTATCCCAGGTCTGGGGTATCCTATTCCTCATCTGTGCCCCTTTAGAGAGGGGAGTAAGGGCCAAGTGGTGCAAGGTCCCAGTGGGCCCTGGACTGGTGCATGTGATTGGCCTGAGCTGGACAATGCCACTGTGATGTCGGCCCACTCCCACTGTTAAATGGAGGCTCCTCAACCTCGGGTCAGAAGCTGCTGTCTAGACACAGATCATGGTGAGCTTAAGACCCTCTTGCCTTTGCCCTTTGATTTGTACCTAAATCCAGAGACTTGCCCAGAACTGGAACCACAATTCTCACGCTGAAAAGGGTGGACATTGGGTTACAAGCTCCCAAATGGAACAAGGAAAACTTTCAGAGGACTCTGGCCAAGAGTAACTCCAGGCCAAGGCCTACTTCTCCAGCTGTGAATTAGTATTCAAAGGTCTTGACCCTCACAGCTGCCCCCTCGAAGTGGGTGCTGACCCAACCCTCCACTTGGGGCTCTCATGTGGCTCACCTCCCCACCCAAAGCTTGCTGGGGTTTCCCTCTTGGTATATGGAGTGGGTAACCAGATCCTGGTTCCAGCGCTGACCTGATGCTGGCCTGGCCTTTTCAGAGTGGCGGGTATGATCTCAACCTCTTCACCAGCCCTCCCGACAGCAACTTCCTGTGCTCTGTCTGCCATGGGGTTCTCAAGAAGCCAGTGAGGTTGCCATGCAGCCACATCTTCTGCAAGAAGTGCATCTACCAGTGGCTAGCCAGGTGCTACTGGGTTCCCAAGAGGCTGGGAAGTCAGGGATGGGGAATGAAGCCATTTCTGTAATCCAGGACAGAGGAAGGTCTGCAAAGCCATGAGTCATGGCCATAAAATCAGCTGCTAAATCTGAGACACTGAAATAATGTGGGTCCATTCACCCTGTGGTATTTGCAGCCCCTGGCGCAGGTCTCAGAGCTGAGAGGTCCCTATAAAGCCCTCTCATCCCTCTTTCAACTAGAGAGAAGGGACCAACATGTTGCTGCTACTTGCTCTCTTCCCAATCCCAGTACTCACCCCATCTCATGCCTCCTAGACAAAAGACCTGTCCATGCTGCAGGAAAGAGGTGAAACGGAAAAAGATGGTCCATGTGAATAAACTCCGAAACACCATTGGCCACCTGGAAGTTAAGGTAGTTCAAAGCACCCACTGCCAGGACCCTCCTTGCCCCCTTGTGGGGGTGCAGAGCCAGGAGAGGGGGCAAGGAGAATCCCACCCTCAGAATTGAGGATTTCTACTCCAGCAACAGACTACAGACTTCGGGTCATCAGACCTGGCTGAGTTCCATTTGGGCAAGTTACAAAACTACTCAGCCCCTGGGGCCTCAAATGTAAATTTTTGTTTGTTAATCCTCAACAGAGGATATTTTTTCCATTGAATTTTTTTAGAAGGGGGAAGGGAGAGAGAGAAAGAAACATCAATGTGAAAGAGACACATTGATTGGTTCCCTCCTGCACCAGCCCTGACCAGGGTTGTAGATTGAACCTACAATGCAGGTACGTGCCCTTGACTGGGAATCGAACCCATGATCCTTTGGTTCAGGGACCAATGCTCTAACCACTGAGCCACACTGGGCAGGTCTCATGTAAAATGGGGATAAGAAAATTTTTAGAGAATAATATATCTGTTATGGCGGCCATTAACTCTTCAGCCCCCTAATTTTATAGATGGGAAAACAGGTTAAGGGGGGGGGAAAGCCTGGCAAACCTGCATACATGCAATCCACTAGACCAACTCAGCCCCATACATCCCTATTATTTTCCAAGTCTCAGGCCCTGACCCCCTCCTCTCAGAGATCTAGAGTCTTCCCACCTCCAATTATTTATCCAACAGTTTCCCTCTCCAAGTCATTGGTGCCATAAGAGCTTGGAAGGCTCCCAGGTAGTTCACTGGTTCCTAGATAGTGGAATGTATGTCATGGATGGGGGATTCTTTGGGGATGGGCAGCTCAAGGGCTGGCAGTGCCCTACCTGGTTTGGCTCACCATGCTCTCCCCCACCCCTAGTGCAAGAATGCCGAAGCTGGCTGCTTGGTGACGTGCCCCCTGGCCCATCGCAAGGGGCACCAGAACTCATGCCCTTTCGAGCTAATGGCCTGCCCCAACGAGGGCTGCATGGCGCGAATACCTCGTGGGGCCTTGGCCGAGCACCAGCAGCACTGCCAGTATGGTATCCAGCAGTGCGGCCCCCTGGGCTACGGGGCGACCCTGGACCTGGCAGAGCCTGTGCGCCACAACTGCCACCACGAGCTGCGGGAAGCCTGGGGCCATCGCCAGGAGCGTAGCCAGACTCTGGTTCTGTGCCTGCTCCAGCAGGTGCGCAAGGTGTACCGCACCACCAACCTCATCCGCCAGCAGTTAGTCCAGCTGGGAAACTTCCTGGAGGACGGCGCACTGCTCCCAAGCGCCCGGCAAGAGGATGCTGAGGCCACCACAGAAGCCAGTATTGGGGCTGAGGTGTGGAGGGTCCAGGGCCAAAGTACCTTGTAAATTGAGGGGTAAATAAATGCGAGCCCAAAACTGGCTTGCCCCGCTATCTCTGTGCTTGCAACCCTGCACCTTTGCAGGCACTACCCCCTTCACCCTGCATGGACACTTTGGCCTCTCTCCCAAGTTCTTTCCCACCACTGGGTCTTAACACTGGCTACCCTGCCCTAGCTCTCATTTGCCTGGCTTCTTTCCACTCAAATGGATGTCTCACAAAAGTTTTTCCCAGTCTCCTCCCCAGTTACTTTCTAGGGAATCTTTTTACCAGTTTCATAGCCAGTAGCACAAATGGCTCAAATTCCTGAGCTGAGTAAAAGCCAACTCATCACAATGACTTACAGGGAACCCCCATTATCTCTGGCCACTTTCCCTTATAATTCTTCGTACTCATTCCCTGAAGCCCCATGAGCTTCTGTTGCTCCTCTTAATGCCAAGTCAGTACACTGGCTGTTCCTTAGCCTGAAACACACCTACTTCAAGTTTTTTCTCCATGAAGCCGCCTCTACAACCCCACATATAACTGCACTTCCTGCCCTGGCTGGTTTGGTTCTAGTGTCTTCTGGATATGCCAAGGTTGCAGGTTCAATCCCTGGTCAGGACATATAAGAAGCAACCAATGAATGTATAAATACTGTAAGTGGAACAACAAAGGGATGTTTCTCTCCCCCTCCCCCTCTCTAAAATAAATAAATAATTGCACACCCTAAACTCCACTCCAACCCTCAACAATTCTTTCCACAGTGCTAATCATTTATGGCGATTATTCCTTGCCCTTCCGCCCAGTCCCCACACAACTAGCACCTGAGCTACTCAAAGGCCAAGGTTTTTGTTTTCTTCTCTGGTGTTTCCCAAGTGCCTAGAACAGTGCTTTGCACAGAATGTGCTCAAATATTTATTTTTTAAAAATATGTCTTTATTGATTTTAGAGAGAAGAAGAGAGAGAGAGAAACATCTATGATGAGTCTCATTGATCAGCCGCCTCCTGCACGCCCCCAACGGGATCGAGCCCACAACCCTGGCATGTGCCCTGACCGGGAATCGAACCCCGATCGCCTGGATTCTAGGCCGATGCTCAATCGCTGAGCCACGCCCGGCCCGGCTGTGCTCAAATATTTAAACGACACTGAAATTACCCGTTTTATTAATTTACCTGTGTTATTTCTCGCACCAGGGCGTGAGCCCCGAGGCAAGGCCTGATTCAAGGCTCTGTCTACACTCGAATGCGCTCACCGCCAAATCCCAGACCGCGGAAGGGACGGGATCCTTGGGACTACTTTAGTAAACAACTACGAATGCCTTTCTAAATTTCAATTACAAGATCGGATATACGGATGATGTATCATAAAAGAAACATAATTTTATTATCCAGTATCGCCCCAATAAATTCAATTAAAGAGTAAATAAAATGCCAGGTAGCTAGTGAACCCAGTCCAATGCCAGTCTACTGCGGCCCCAGCCCGGGATACAATCCAACCTCGGTGCCGGTAACCCTTCAGCCACCCTCCGCTTCCTACCACTGGCGCCGGTCGCGCGGTGCTAGTGACGTCACAGTAGCAGCCGGCGGTGACGCCAGTAAAGCGCGCCGGTCGTCCAGACTAGCTGTCCCGTCTCCCTCACGCGGCGGCGACTGCAGCGGCGGCGACATGGAGGAGGCCGCGGCCGGTCTGAGCCGCTTCAAGGCCAAGTGAGCGGGGACGCGGGGGCTGTGGGCGCCGCCGGGGAGGGAATCGAGCTCGCAGCGGCAGTAGCGGGGTCTCCCACCGCGGCCGGGTGTCCATTCGGGTTTGGGGAGATGGTGAGGACTCTGTCCGCGAGGTCGTGGCGGCTGCAGTATTATGAGGTGGGAGAGCCGGCAATGACGGCGCTCGGGGACGGGGGCTGGAGCCCGGTCGGGCATAGCCAGCGTGGGTTACTTAAACTAGGAGCGGGTGTGGGAGTGGGGAATGAGAAATCCCAAAGGAGGAAGGGGCGGACTGAGCACAAATGGAGGCAGGTCCCAGACGGGAGCGGCACCTCTGACCCCCTCAGGTAGCGGAGAACCACCTTCGGGTAAGGCGCCTGAGAGTTTTCACCTGCTGTCCCTCTTCCCCAGGGAGGAGGAATAGACGTCAGGAGATGCGCCCGTTAGCAGTGGCCCAGAAAGCCCTGAGTCTTGTGCTTATTCAATCCCCCAAGCCTCTGCTGAACATCTAAATGCTTAGTGTCCCGAAAGGGACAGACTCAGCCCCGCCGTTTGGAGGGCAGTCTGATGGGAAAAATTCATTAAGCAAATAATTTCTATCAGTGGCTGTGACAAGCACTAGCAGAAGGATCTCGGGTGGATGGTCTAAGGGGTTTGGGTGTTGGAGACTTTGTTTCATCTTGACAATGAGGCTTCCCCCAATGGGATTAGTTAGGCGCCACTGAAAACTGACAAGAGAGGTCCAGGCCACGCACAGAAAACAGCCTGTCTGAAACAGGAAAGGTTAGCAGTGGCCCCTTTGGGCAAGATCTTGGAAACATATAAGGAGAGGAGAGGGTTTTAAGGCAGAGTTATATTCTAACAGGCCTTTTTGACAGCAGGGTTTGAGAGAGTGGGTGGGGGGCTAGTGAAGAGACTGGAGCAGCTCTCCAGAGGGGACAGTGCAGTAACCTGAACCAGTATGGAGGCAGCCCAGGATGAGGGAATAGGGCTGCTTGAGGACTGAGATGCAGGCTAGGCTGGGGATGGAGGAAGGGTTGGGGAAGGGTCAGGCTGGACCTCAGGGAAGATGTTGAGCACGTTAACCTCGGCTGGTACCCAGGCCTGGTCTCCGGTGGCCAGCAGGGGGCCCCCAAGGCCTGGCCTGATCAGCACCGGGGAATCTCTGGGAAGAATGGACTGTTTGGACAGCGTGTGCTGCTGTGGGATCCTCTGGGTCACCAATCAGCCCTGGGTCTCAAATATTCAGTAACAAGGGGGTACCAACACCCACCTCACAACAGTGAAAAGAAATCACACAACCCCAGTCCTACTGCTGTCTAGGCGCTCAGTCACAGGGACCTGTTGGGTTGATCTTTGGGAGAGAACCCAACACAGGGCTTGGCATTGGGGCCCAAGGGGTGGGTGATTCACTTTCTTCCTCTCTCCTCCCTCCAGCTATGCTGTCGAGCGCAAGATCGAGCCTTTCTACAAGGGCGGGAAGGTGCAGGTACCAGCTTGGGGAGGGGCAGAGTGGTGGGGTAGGCAGGGACTACAGAGTGTTACCTTGGCTGAGACCCCTCTATCACCAGCTGGACAAGACTGGGCAGCACCTTTTCTGTGTCTGTGGTACCAAAGTTAACATCCTGGATGTAGCCTCAGGGGCCATTCTGCAGAGCCTGGAGCAGGTGAGGGCAGGGAGAGCTGGGGCTAGGGACTAGTATGGAAAAGCAGCCTATTCTCATGGAACTTTTTGTGCCCACTCTTTCCTCTAGGAGGACCAGGAGGACATTACTGCCTTTGACCTCAGCCCTGATGATGAGGTATATTGGGTAGGGACAGGAGGTGGGCTCTAGTACTTCCCAACCAAACTTTGAGTCTATGAGGATGGGTGGCCATGCCTCTACCCACTCAGCCCTCAGCTAAACTACATCCTCCCCCAGGTCCTAGTGACAGCCAGCCGGGCACTGCTGCTGGCTCATTGGGCCTGGCGAGAGGGCAGTGTCATCCGCCTGTGGAAAGCGATACATACAGCCCCTGTGGCCACCATGGCCTTCGACCCCACCTCCACGCTGCTAGCCACAGGTAGGGCCCCAGCTGGGTGGATGGGCAGGCTGGTGGGCACATGAGCAGGGGGTTTGGGGAACACCAGCCCCCTTACCTCAAACACATTTCCACAGGCGGCTGTGATGGGGCTGTGCGTATCTGGGACATTGTGCGGCACTACGGGACACACCACTTTCGGGGCTCACCAGGTGTTGTGCAGTGAGTAGGAACATCAGAGACTGGGTGAGTGGGACATCACATTGGGGTGGCACAGCTCACCTGTCCCACCTACCCATCTGCAGTTTGGTGGCCTTCCACCCGGACCCTGCACGCCTGCTGCTCTTCTCCTCAGCCATAGACGCCGCCATCCGCATATGGTCGCTACAGGACCAGTCATGCCTGGCTGTACTGACTGCCCACTACAGTGCTGTCACCTCACTGACCTTTAGTGCTGATGGCCACACCATGCTCAGGTCAGCAGCCAGCTAGCTACCCAGGCCTTAGCAGGCAGGGGAAGGCCATGGCTGAGATTCTGGAACTGAGGTGGCTGTTTCCCCCAGCTCGGGCCGGGATAAGATCTGCATTGTCTGGGACCTTCGGAGCCACCAAGCCCTGAGGACCATCCCAGTGTTTGAGGTGGGGCACCTAGGGGTCAGTGCCTGTGGGGTGGGGTGGGGGTGGGGCTGCCACCTCTGACCTGCTCCTCCTCAGAGTGTGGAGGCCGCAGTGCTGTTGCCAGAGGAGCTGGCACCCGAGCTGGGTGTGAAGTCCACGGGCCTGTACTTCCTGACAGCTGGCAACCAAGGTGTGTGGGGCTAGGCCACGGCAGGCAGCAGGGACGGGTGGCCTATGGATCTGAGTCCCAGCAGCCTCTGTTCCTGCATAGGTATGCTGCGTGTGTGGGAGGCAGCCTCTGGGCAATGTGTATACACACAACAGCAGTTGTCAGGCCCTGGGCGGGAGCTGACTCACTGCACCCTGGTCCGAGCTGCTGGTCTGCTCCTCAGTGTCACTGCTGACCACAACCTTCTGCTCTATGAAGCACACTCCCTGAAGCTGCAGAAACAGGTGAGCACTGCCCCCTGGTCAACACTTCTCCTAGGGTCTCTGGCTGTCTTCTCACTCTGGCCCTGGCTTGTATCTCTCCACCCTGCAGTTTGCCGGCTATAGCGAGGAGGTGTTGGACGTCCGGTTCCTTGGGCCCGAGGACTCCCACATTGTGGTGGCCTCCAATAGCCCCTGCCTAAAAGTATTTGAGCTACAGACATCAGCCTGTCAGATTCTCCATGGACACACAGGTGAGGGTGCCAGGCCAACGCCCCCTGGGACACCTTCCCTTAATTGACCTCTGACGATTCTCCCTCCACTTTCCTTTTTTTTCTTTTTTTTAAATATGTTTGTATTGATTTTTAGAGAGAAAGGAAAGGAAAGGGATAGAGAGGTAGAAACATCGATGAGAGAGAAATATCAGTGAGAGAGAAACATCGATTGGCTGCCTCCTGCACGCCCCTTTTTGGGGATCAAGCCCACAACCCGGGCATATGACCAGACTAGGAATCAAATCGGCGACCTCTTGGTTCATGGGTCAGTGCTCAACCGCTGAGCCACACCAGTAGGGCCTCCCTCCACTTTTCTTTCAGACATTGTCCTGGCCCTGGATGTGTTTCGGAAGGGGTGGCTCTTTGCCAGCTGTGCCAAGGTGAGGTACCCCAAGAGGTATGGAGGTATAGGTCCCCTGTGGGAAAGCCTGGCCCAGCCTCTGTCCTCACTCCTCCCATCTTCAGGACCAGAGCATTCGAGTCTGGAGGATGAACAAGGCTGGCGAGGTGACCTGTGTGGCTCAGGGCTCTGGGCACACCCACAGCGTGGGCACCATCTGCTGCTCTAGGTAGTGGGCCAGGGCAGGGGTCCAAAGTGTCACAGATGTGGAGACCTAGGCCCTGCTGATGGATTTCCCGCTTAGGGAGATGGAGAGAATATCGTCTCTTTGGCTTGCTCTTTGAAGCTTCAGCCTAGGGATCTAGGATAAAGAACAGGCCAGTAGTACCCCAGGTGCCATTGTTGGGTGGGGATGGGGGCTTCCTAGGAAGCAGCCTTGGGGCTGGGTGGATGAAAGGGGCAGGGTGTCCCATTATTGAGACACAGTTACCTGGGGTGGTGCCACCAAGGATAAGCATTGTGGGCTTAAGTGCAGGCAAGTGGTCCCATAACTGTGTTTGATTGACTCAGGCCATTTGCCTTCTGGGACAGTCCCTCTGGTCTGGACCATGGTCCTGCAGGTCCAGCCTGAGCTGTGGTGCATTAGCAGATAGAGTTGGCAAGGGCTCAACAGGTATTTTCCCCCTCCCCCAAATTGGGCTTCAGGCTGAAGGAGACCTTCTTGGTGACGGGCAGCCAGGACTGCACTGTGAAGCTATGGCCCATCCCTAAAGCCCTGCTGTCCAAGAACATAGCCCCAGACAGTGGCCCTGTCCTCTTACAGGCCCAGGTGACACAGCGCTGCCATGACAAGGTGACTACACACAGCACACTGGGGTGGCAGTGTGGCAGGGCCCTCATTAGGATAGGGGTATCTGAGCTGCTGCCTGTTGCCATCACCAGGACATCAACAGTGTAGCTGTTGCTCCCAATGACAAGCTGCTGGCCACAGGCTCACAGGACCGCACAGCCAAGCTCTGGGCCCTGCCACAGTGCCAATTGCTGGGCATCTTCTCAGGCCACCGGCGTGGCCTCTGGTGTGTCCAGTTCTCACCTATGGACCAAGTGCTGGCCACTGCCTCAGCTGATGGCACCATCAAGCTCTGGGCACTGCAGGACTTCAGCTGCCTTAAAGTAAGCTGCCCGCACCCCAGGCCTGGCCCCCACCTCAGGCCTGGCCCCTACCTGATGTCATCTCATGCCCTCCCTGTCCCTACCCTGCAGACGTTCGAGGGGCATGATGCTTCTGTGTTGAAGGTGGCCTTTGTGAGCCGTGGTACACAGCTGCTGTCCAGGTGAGAGGGCTGGGGACAGGGCAGGGGTTGTGGTGAGCTAGGGGACCGTAGTGCTGAACCCCCTCCCAATTCCAAACCCAGTGGCTCTGATGGGCTGGTGAAGCTCTGGACCATCAAGAACAATGAGTGTGTGAGGACACTGGATGCCCACCATGACAAGGTCTGGGGACTTCACTGTAGCCAGTTGGACGACCGTGCTCTTACTGGCGCCAGTGACTCCTGTGTCATCCTCTGGAAGGTGTGTGAGCATTGGTGCAGCGGGCAAAGAGTGGGCAGGGCAGCATGGGGTTCCAGTCTGACCCTAGTCTGACCCTAGGATGTTACCGAAATGGAGCAGGCAGAGGAGCAGGCCAAGCGGGAGGAGCAGGTGGTCAAGTAAGCCTGGAGGGTCCCCCACCCAACTTCCTTGTGAGTGTCACCCATGTGTCTGGCACCTCCCATGCATCAGTATCACCCCCTCCCCCCTGGGTAGGGTATATTAGCATCACCCCTGCTTTATGGCACGGGGAAACTGAGGCTTGGAGTGTCAACACAGCTCACCATCAGTGAGTGCTCAGGCCTGGTCTGCTGACTCCTGAGCCAGTCCCCTGATGTCTCTGCCTTCAACCCCAGCCCTATGGCCCTGTCTTCCTTCCTCCTTTCCCCACCAGGCAGCAAGAACTGGACAACCTGCTCCAGGAGAAACGGTACCTGCGGGCGCTCGGCCTGGCCATCTCCCTGGACCGGCCCCATACTGTGCTGACTGTTATCCAGGGTCAGTGCTGCTTCATGGGCCTGACAGGCAGCAGTGGAGGGGGAAAGGAGGGAGTTCCTCTCAGGTCTGCCCTTCCCCTTCCCTGGGGCTCATTTTCCCTCTTCCTGCAGCCATCCGGAGGGACCCTGAGGCCTTCGAGAAGCTGGAAGCCACTGTGCTCCGACTTCGGCGAGACCAGAAAGGTTTGGGGTGGGTGGGTAGAGGCTGGACAGTGGCTGATATGGGTGGAGTGGCCAACAGGCAGGTCTGATCATCCCTATCACCTGCAGAGGCCTTGCTTCGCTTCTGTGTCACGTGGAACACTAACTCCAGGCATTGTCACGAAGCCCAGGCTGTGCTGGGTGTGCTGCTGCGGCACGAGGCTCCGGAAGAGCTGCTGGCTTACGAAGGTGTGCGGGCCTCACTTGAGGCCTTGCTGCCCTACACAGGTACATGGAACACAGCCCTAGGTGGGGGTGGGGAGTAGCCTGACCAGACTCTATGGACCCCCTGATTGCCTCTGTCATTCCCAGAGCGGCACTTTCAGCGACTCAGCCGGACCCTGCAGGCAGCCACCTTCCTAGACTTCTTATGGCACAACATGAAGCTGCCCACCCTCCCTGCAGCCCCCTCTGCCCTCTGAAACATGCAGAAGGTGTACTTTTCTATCCCAGCTCCCTGTGTCTGTTTGGGCTTTGTCTCACCCCAGGTCCCAGGCTGCAACCTTGGCCAAACACCATCCCTGTGCCTTGGCCTGGCTGCAATCCAACAGGCCGTGCCCCTCAGCATAGACACGGAGTGTGGGTTAATCAGAACTTTACTAGAGGAAATGGAAGAATGTAGCTTCCTGGCCCTGCCAGCCAGGGAGTCCCACCCTCAAATGTGCCTCCCCCTGCCCTGGGGGTGGTATGGCTGCCATCAGTCATTCCTGGTGTCTGGAGCCTCTGGCCTGCCGCTCCATCTGTGGGGTACACAGCAAAGCTCTCCACGAAGTTCCACACACCCTCAAGGATGTCCCTGACCCCGTTGGTCCCTCCCCAGTGCCCTACGGGTGATGGTGCAGCAGCGGCTCTGAATGGCACTCAGCGGGGGGCGGGTGGGCAGAGTAGGGGGAAGGGTCATGGTCTGGGGGGACTTAGGGGAGCTTTGGGCCACCTCTGCCCTGTTCTCCCCACCCTCTGTCCCAGAATGGAGCCCTGGTCCATTCAGGAACATGCCTAGCCCATCAGGCTGCAGTAGCACAGAGGGGAGAAGACCTGTGCGGCCACCAAACCTGCAAGTAGGGCAGAGTTTGGTTAGCACTTGGCCCTGACCCCTGCCCCATTAGACCCCTCCTTCCCCCACCAAAGCCCCACACCTGCACAGCCACCAGCCTCGGTCCGACATTTCCAGCACTTGCACTCTTGCCCCCGCAGGCACTGACAGCTCATCAGCCTGGCTGCCTTCATAGGCTTGAGAAACACAGAACTGGGAGCCTGGGAGTGGGCACTTGGTGGTTACCACAGGGCTCCCGACTCTGTCCCCTCATTGATCTCACTGAATCCCCACTTCCGAGGTCTCCCTCTCTGGGTCTCTGCTGATGCCAAGGACCACTCTAAAACCCACTGGGGCTCCAGCCCACTGTGGGGACTAAGCACATGCTAGGGGATTGCTCCCACCACCTAGTCCTTCCATAGCATCTCACCCCCTGGTCAGGTGCTACCCGTAGCCCAACCTTGCCATACATTGCCTAACGATAGTGGTGGGCATCAGGAAGAGGGTTAGTCTCATACCACTGTTCCCTAGGGGCTGTCTTCCATCTTGTCCCTGACCCAGGGCCACTTCCTCCAAATAGGGAGCAGGAAACCATGCTACCTGCTGGTCTTCATTAGCCACCAGCCACCAACCTGTACACAAAAGGTGGGCAGTGGTTCAGATCCCCAGGCATGCTGGGATCCTGGTGGCAGGATGTCAAGTCCCCAGACTCCTGCCGAGCCCCACCTGAGGGGTGTCGCAGCAGCACATCTAGGGCCTCCTGGGCCTGAGCATGGAAGGGTTGGCCCCATGTGTCCTGGGTGCTGAAGGGCTGCAGGCAGTGCAGGCTCAGAGCCACCGGGCTGCCTATGGCAAGGCTGCCCACAGAGCCGGGTAGGGGCTCTTCCAGGACAGGCAAGATCACCAGGCTGGAAAGGGTGGTTGCAGGAGAGAGGTGTGTGGGGATGGGCTGCCACACCTCACAAGCCTACCCAGCCTTGTACCACCTCGGCCCTTTCTCCATTTGGCCCCCACCCTTCAGATGCTTCCCACAGCTACTTAGGGGTAGATCAGGCACCTGCCAGGTGGTAGTGAGGGCTCCAGGTCCAGGGGTTGTGGCTCGAAGAAGCCAGTGAGTGCTGGCCCCCTGGACACTTGCTCTGCTGCTAGCAATGTCTGAGAATAGGTCTCTAGCAACCGCAGGCGCGCCAGGCCACGGCCCATGCGCCCCCCACGCGCCAACAGTAATGCAGATGCATCTGTGGGCACAACAGGAACAGACCATGGGACCCCCCCCCCAGGGCTCCCATCACCAGGCTGCTGCTGCTCCCCCTGCCCCTGCCCCTCCCAGGATCCCTGCAGCCTGACCAGAAAGCTTGGGGAGAACTCGGTCGGATCTCCGCAGCAGGCCGGCCTCCACCGGGAAGGTCTCCTTGAGGATCTTCTAAGGGCGAGAACCAGCATATCCATTTTTGAAAGCCCACTGGATTACCTTGGGAGGGCAGGAGTCCCTTGCTGGGTTCGTAGGTGCTGGAAGCCAGCATGGGCATGACGGCAGGTACTATGGGGGTGGGGGTATCATTCAATTGGAGGAAGTTGGATCACCCCAGGTTCACTCACATGAAGCTTCCTAAATTCGTCCCAGCTCCTTCGCACGAAGGTGTTGCTTTCATCCGACCAGCGCACAGAGAAGGCGAATGTCTGTTGGAGGAAAGGCTAGGGGCACCTGGGAGGGACTGGACCATGGACTCCCTCCCTCCCTCCCTCTCCCTATTTCCTCCAGAGGTAGTCAGGGACCGGATCTTACTTGGAGCTTCTCTGTCTGCACCAGAGCAGCTGCACGTACTGACACTGGGTGCCTAGGGCGTGCCATAGCTGTGGTGTCAGAGGGTTGAGGTCCTGGGCTTCTGGAGTCAGCAGCGTGTGGTAGAGTATCCTGCTGGCTCCCTAACCACACGGACTGGCGGTGCTCCTGGGCACCCGGAAGACTGGCTGGAATTCCCCTGCTTGCCTCAGACCTGCCAGGTCCTTGCAGCCCTGCCCTATCCGTGTCCTTAGCTTCCTCACTGGGCCTCAAACTGAAGATCTGGGTGGAGCAGCAGGAGCACAGAGGCGTTGGAGGGTTGGTACTGCTGCCTGAGGCCTTCAGCCCAAATCTATCTGGCCACGGGGGCTGGGGGCTGGAGAAGGAGGAGCCATCAAAGTGCCGCCAGGCCTGGCCCACCCTCCCTGCTCTCCCAGATCTTGTGTAATGCTAGGATTGGTGAGAGCCTTCTGCCAGGGTGTGCCCCACAGGATTGTCTTTGAACTTGCCTGGACAACTAACACAGTTGTCACCAGGAACTGCTTAATCCTCACATTGGGGAGATCTCTTAATGTTCCCAAGTCACAAAGGAGGAAGTTTGTGTTGTGGATGTCAGTTTTTCTATATGTGTTGGGGAGGGTCAGATCTCACAGGCTCACCCCAGAGGTTTCACCCTGTGGTGGTCCATCACTATAGTCACTAGCACTTGGGGGCAGCGGTGGTGGTGACTAGGACTGTTTTGAGAGCTGCCTCTGAATTTATAATTTATTACAAGTTACTGAAAATGCAGCCTCTGCAATCGGGAGTGACCATTCCCTCACCGGGGTGTTGAGAAGACCCTGGAATCTCCAGAGGATGTGCCGTGCCTAGGTGCCCCACAATTCTGGGTTGCTTCCTTATAGAGATTTCCAGAGCCCCATCTAACCTTGGCACACAGTGGTCCCTCCTGCTGTTGGGGCCACCAGCTATGTTGGGACCCCCACCCCACCCAAGCCCTTCAGGGAGGAGTGTCTGGGGCATCTCTCCAGGAAACCACCCTGGCCTGAACAAAGGGCTTTTGTGTATCCCTCCAGCGGCTCTCTCTGAAGCCTTCAAACCTTCCCTCGTCTTGGCCTTGGACAGTGAACACCTGCTGGCATAGACCTGATCTGCAGAGTGCCTTTAGTCCAGCTGTCTCACCCCAATCTCAGGGGGGCCATGCTGAGGGAGCCTGGCCTGGCAGAGTCCATGTTGGAACAGACCCCACTCCCTTGGAAGACAAAGGATAGAAGCTAGCCAATTTGCTAACAGCCGGAGACATAGAAGGCTGCTGAGGCCCCCTCAACTAACCCACTGAAAACACCTGCTTCCTCACTCCCCGAAACTCTGGATCCTTTCCACTCCCTCTCCATAGCCCCTACCCTTCTCTCTCACCTGGGCAAAAACAGTTCCCCATCCAATGGCCATGCTCCTCCCTTGCTCCCATGAAATTGATTCTCCAGAGGAATCTTTGCAAAACAGAAATGGGATCTGGTAGAGGTAGCCCTGCCCAAAACTGTCCAGTATCTTCCCCCAGTTCTTAGAATAAGTTCCCAGTTCTCATGGCAGCTGACAAGGTCTTCGGTGGGCCCTTGCCTACTTCTGGATTTCTCCTCCCCACGTCCTGTTCCATGGCCTTTCAACTTATGCAAGAGGCCAAGACCCTCCCACCTCCAGCCTGTCCTTGCCTGCTCTCGCTCAGCTGATTCCTCATCCTTCAGGCCTCTGCCTAAGGGTCACCTTCTCAGGGAGGCCACCTGAATTTACAGTGCCCTGTTATGGCCCCACCACAGTTTGTAAGTGAACATCTGTTAGTGTAACTCATTTTTTTGTTTTGTTTTTTCCGTCTTGACCACTGGACTATGAGCTGAGGAAGTCAGGGTTGGATCTTGTTTCCCCGCCCTGCCCAGTGCCTGGAATAGTGATTGGAACAGATTAGGCACTACACAAATATTTGCGGAATGACTAGAAGCAGAGATTCCTGAGGCCACTCCTGACGTGGATTTAATTTCTTCATGCAGGCTGGAGGATCCGGGGCCGCCGGGTTCGAGCAGAAGCCCAGGGACCTTAGCCGCACAGTCCCACCCCGCTAGCCTTAGCGCTCGTTACCTTAGCGCTCGTTACCAGGGCGCCGGCCCCGGGGGCGGATCCCCGGGACCCCGCCCCAGTGCACAACGCCCATCTTGAGCTCACGGCCCCGCCCTATGTTGCCTTAGTGCGGCGCAGCCGGCTGGGGGGCGTGTCCCCAGTTGACTGCACAGTGTCTGGCCACAGGCACCGGGGACCGTCAGAGCAGAGCAATGGGGGCGTCGAGGGCTGCAAACGGACTTCGCCGCGGCCGCAGTTCGAGTCCACGGCGCGGCCGCGGCGCAGCTTCCACAACACGCTGCCCTTCTACTGGGGGAAGCGGGAGCATCGCCGTGGATCTCGCCAGCCGGGCTCCGGCCGCGGACCCAGGCCCGGGGGCGTGGCCATGACCCGGGCCCCTGGCCCCGCCTCCTCCCCTTCCCGAACCTTGGCCTCGGGCTTTGCCTCAACCCGGGTGTGGGCCCTGGCTTGCAGCCCCGCCTCCTCGCCGGACTCCGAGTCCAGTCCCAGCCTCAGCGCCCGAGCCGGCGGCCTGCTCGCCGGGCTCCTGTAGCCGCGCCCCGTCCTGGAGGCTGAGTCGGAGGCCCTTCTGGAGTTCGAACTGGCCCGGCAGGCACTGCGCGGGCAACATGGCGGCGTCCAGCGAACGGGGGCGCTTCGGCGGTGGGAACCTCTTCTCCTTCCTGCCCGGCGGCGCGCGCTCAGAAGCAATGGAGGACCTGGTGACGGATGCGCGCGGCCGGGGCGCGGGACGGAAAGATCCCGCCACTGCCTCGGCCCCGACTCCAAACCTGGCGCCGACCCCTGACTCTCAGGTCGCCGAGGACACTTCCCGGAGACGGCACTGCCGTGCCTGCGTGGACTTCAAGTCATGGATGCGAACGCAACAGAAGGTGCAGATGCTGGGGGGGCGGGGGGCGCCACTTCTCCGCCGAGGCTCCCGAGCCCTGGCCACTCCTAGCCCCAGACCGCACACGACCCGCCCCTTCCCGCCCCGGCCCCTACACCTTGTTCTTAGGCTCCCCGGGCGGCCTAAGAACAACGCGCAGGCCAAGCGGTTCCACAGGTCCTATGCTTGACAGACTTATGCCCCCTAGGGTTGGCTGTTCCTGAACTTGCCCAAGGTAGGCCCAGCCTTTAGGCTTTGGCGTCACGTGGGCCAGATCCGCCGCAGGACTAACGTCTGGAGTCTGTGGGCCTCCAGCTGGGGAGGGAGAAGGAGGAGCTTTATAGGTTTTGGTCAGGGGAGATTGAACTGACCCTTGGTCGGCCTCCTTCCGCAGCGGGACAGCAAGTATAGAGAAGATTGTCCTGAGGATCGTGAGGAACTGGGCCGCCACAGCTGGTCTGTTCTCCACACCCTGGCTGCCTACTACCCCGACCTGCCCACCCCAGAACAGCAGCAAGACATGGCCCAACTCATACATTTATTTTCCAAGTTTTACCCATGTGAGGAGTGTGCTGAAGACATAAGGAAGAGGTAAGTTATTCTGTATCATCTAAAGGCAGCAGATGCCCGGCCGGGTGGCTCAGCGATTGAGCATGGACCTATATGATCCAGAAGATCCGTTGCAGGCTTGACCCCCCAGCAGGCGGCGTGCATGAGGCAGCCGATCAATGACTCTCATCATTGATGTTTGTGTCTCTCCCTTCCTCTCTCTGAAATCAATAAAAACATATATATATATATTTCTAAAAAGCAGCACAGCATCCCACCTGGAACCTGGGCCTGGGGCCCCTGACTGATGTCATAAAGGAGAGCCTAGAGAAGTAGGTGCAGAAATGGCGGAGAGTTGCCAAGAGCAGGGACCACCAACAGAGTGGGGTTGGATCAACTGAGCCATCTTTCTACTCAAAGGCCAAGCAGCCTTGGTTTGCTGCTGGGCACTGCCGCTTTCTGCAGCCACAGGCCCATAGGGAGGGCTTCCCACATAAGGTCCCTTACATAGTACTGATGGAGGATCTGGCAGGTTAAGGAGGACTCCACTTTGCCTGACTTTTGGAGCTGGACTGCCAGTTTCAAGTCCTTGAGAATTCACTGCTATTGCTTACAAGAGCCACTTTTTCTTCATTAGATAGTCTAAGAGCATTGTTTGGCACCCATAGGTGTTTCTGGTCTGGGTGTGGGGGGCAGGGCAGCCCTTGCTATTTGAAGCCTGGGCAGTTAGAATGTGGTCTCTTGTTGATCTGAAGTACCAGGGCCCCAGGTGCTAAGAAACAGGTCTGGCTTTCAGTTAAGCCTTTGTGCAGGCCCCACCCTTTTCACACACTGCTTTGGGCAGGGAAGCTGTGAAGAGGCTTCCTGATTGTTATGAGGTTGTAAAGTTGCCTGGTCTGTGTTAATGTCTTGCCCTGGGCTCTTGTCAGTGTTTATCAAGCTCCCCAAGTGAGGTTTTGAGCAGGCCTAGGAGTCTACTACACCTGGCACTACAGGGTCAGCCCTGTTCTGGGAATTACTGTCTCTCAGAACACCTGGGTGTAGTAGCTTACAGCAGCATCCCATCTCTCCCTGGATTGAGCAAGCAGGGAGCTAGCTGATCGGCAGGGACAGTGGGACCACTGCCTGTCCTCATTCTCCATGTGCTTCCCCCCACGCAGGATATGTAGGAACCAGCCAGACACGCGCACACGGGCATGTTTAACCCAGTGGCTGTGCCGCCTACACAACGAGGTGAACCGCAAGCTAGGCAAGCCGGACTTCGATTGCTCTAAAGTGGACGAGCGCTGGCGTGATGGCTGGAAGGATGGCTCCTGCGACTAGAGGGCGACCAGCTGGAACTCATGGGGGCTGCCTGGCTAGAAAGGGGCAGGACATCCATTAAAGTGCATCATAGCACTCATTAAAGTGCGGCAGAGCCAGAGCCTGTTGTGTTTCAGTTGGGTGTTCCCCAGCCACTTCCCATGGCACCCTTTCCTTTTCAGGTTTGGAGTTGAAGTGCCTGCTGCTGGCACCCTGATGGCCTCTTCCTCAGCTGAAGCCCTGTGGGGCTACAGGTGAAGGAATAGGAGCAGCATAGGCTGTCTCTTTTTTCAGGATGCAGCCTCCTGCCCACCCCACACCCTGGTGCCCACTTCCCCACACAGGAAGGTGATAAGCTTGGCTGGGCTACTCTTTCACACAGAATCTTTGAGACCAGGCCATTGTCTCCCTATTGTATAGCTAGAGACAGCCACATTAATTGTAGCCTCAGAGACTGTGTGCCGCTTGCACTTCAGGAAAGAAGCCTGGAGACTAAGCTTTCCACCCTGCTCAGTCCCTACAGGGAGGGAAGATGCAGGCAGGGTTCTTCTCTGAGGGTCCACTGACCCTGCAGCTCATTTTCTGTTCAGCACATGGGATTCCATAGCTGTACCAAGCTTGTCAGAGGCTTTTTGGGGGCAGCTTCCTTGGAGCTTGAGACAAAAATAAAATGCTGAAGAAGTGACTTGAGAACCTGGCTTCAGTGTGTTTGCTGGGACTTGCAGTGATGGACAGGGCCTGCCCTCACCCCTTTGTGGTCAGCAGCTTCCTCCTGTCCAGGTTCTGGCTCGTTAGGAGAAAGGAGAGGTCCCAAGACAAGCATGGGCCAGGATATTCCAGGAACAGCAAGGAGGCTGAGTTCCTGGAGCTGAGGGAGCGTCAGAGAGGTGAGGAGGAGTCAGATAGCATGAAGTCTTTAAGGCCCCAGCAAGGATGTGGTTTTAACTCCCAGCTTCTGTGACAGGAAGGTCTTGGAGGATTTGGAGCCGAGGAATGGTGAGATGTGACTTTTGAAAGGTTCCTCTGAGCTGGGATGAGGCAGGCATGGGTGGAAGCAGGGAAAGCAGGTACCCATGTGGCAGTTGAAGAGGAAGCTGACCCCAGGGTGGATGGGAGAGGATGCCAGATGTATTCTGGAGGTACAGTCAGAGGAAGAGCCAAAGGTGACTAGGGTTCTGGCCCAAGAAGCTGGAAGGATGGAGTTGCTCTGTGTATCAGTGAGATGGAGAAGACTGAGTGGAGTAGGTTTGGGGGGTGACCTGGACCCAGCTTTTGAGGCTTTCTTTCTTATCTCATGCATACCTGTTCCCAGGCCTTGGCTCCCAGCCAGGATACAGCAACAGTATGCCCCATCCCTGTAGTCATAAAGCTCTGGTCACCTCTCTCCCTAGGCAAAGGGCCAGCCTTTGTCATAGCCTGCTCAGCACCTTCACCTGACTTGTTCTCACAGGGGTGCTGGCTTCCACAACATGCTACCCCAAGGGGCCAGGTGACACAAAGAAATAGGCAGGGAGCAGCCAGCAGATAAGTTGCTCTAACTCCCCTAGGTGGACTGTCCCCACCACAGATCTCTCTGGCCTCTCCTGAGTAGCCTGTGAGCCATTGTGGTCAGCTCAGGAACATACCGCCTTATATTTGCGCTTTCTCCTTGCTCCACTTCCCTTCTTCCCTAACTCTGGCTTCAATAAAACTCTTAAACTTTGCTGCAGACTGTTTTCCAGGGCAACCAGGCTAAGACAAATGGGACTCTAGTTCAAGGGAAAGTTCTAGTCCAATAGAGAAGAGCCATGATCATGTTCTGGGGCTCTTAAGAGCCACAGGTTGGACGAGAGGAAGGAACCTGAAAGGGGTGACAAAGAAGGGCCTATGAAGTAAGAACATGAGAAGGTGACACCTAGAAGCCTTTCTAGGAGGGTGGGGACCTCAGTGTCTCAGTTGCCCCTGGGACTAAAGGGAGCAGTGACATAGGACAGCTGGAGGGAAAATGGGGTCAAGAATTGATGTTTGTTAAGATAGAAGAAAGTGTAGCATGTTTGGGTGCTAATGCAAATGATTAAGGAACAAATGGCTGATGTATGAGACCAAGACAGAGAACAGTAGCTGACAGATGAGAGCTGGTAGGACTGGATGCACAGTGTAATGCACTTGACAAGACTGGTGGACAAAACCTCTGGCCACATCTGCCCTGGGACGGGTTCCCCAGGGGGCTGGGCCAGGCACCACCCTCCGTCCACACAGATGTCACGGCAGGACCTGGAGTTGAGTCCCAGTTCTTCACTTTGTATGACCCAGGAACTCAACCAGTTTGCCTGTTTACCATCTGAGAAAGGGGTGTGATAATAGTTCCTATCCACACAGGTCATTGTGAACTACTTTCCACTGTAAATGCTCAATAAATGCAGACTTGTCTTATCAATGCCCTAGATAGAAACACAGGAGTCATCTGAACTTCTGCTGGGCTGAGTTGGAAGGAACCTGAAGGAAGGGACACTAACTAGGGGCCAGGGGTCTGTGGAAAAGACCCAGCAGTGGCAGGGGGCTGGGAAGCCCCAATTCAGCCAAGCTTCCAGCTCTGATGCTTCTCCCCATTCCTTGGCCCCAAACTAAATATGTCAGCCACAGGTCAGTCCAGTTAATCCAGGAGTGTGGAAGGCTCAGAGCACCCTTGGAATGACACCTGGCCACCCACAGGAAAGGAACAGAGATGCCCCAACTCCCACCCATACTGGCCTGTGGGCTTCGCCCACCTGGACAAGTGCCCCTGGGGACAGAGGCCATTCTCTCTCCCTGTCAGGGTGTCTAGAACCCTCTAAAGGAGAAGCTAGGGTGCAGTGGGGAGGTCATGAGGGGAAAGGCACTAGTGACCGATCTCTGGCTTGCAGGGAACCAGGGCCATGAAAACCCTGTTCTTATTTCCTGAGGGCTGCGGGGAAGACACTGGAGCCACTGGGCCTCAGTTACACTCATGAAAGGGCTCTGCTCAGAGGAGCCGGGTCAGGTCCCCTCTGTGCATCCGCCTGGCAGTGTCCGCCTGCACTGCTGACTCCTTGTGAGGGGTGGTGAGTGAGGGGCCTTGCCCCTGATCATGACCGCGATCTGGCGAATCCATCTCGGACCCGGGACATGCAGCTGAGGGTTGGGGGTGGAAGGAGGGCGGGGCGGAGAGACCCGAGGGCTCCAGCCCGGTGCGTGGACCAGTGAGGGGGTGCGGGC